TGCAGACCGCTCTGGCTTCTTCCATGCTGAACAGGGATGCAGGGTGTGGCAATTGGAATAGCCCTTCAGTGGGTCTATCTAAAAGACTCCCAGATTGCATACCTCTTGTCTCTAAGGGGAAAAGAAATAGTTCTGATGTTTTTTAAAAAAAATACTCGTCTTTATAAACTTACAGATATCTGTAGTATTTGATATTTTAGAAAGTGGAACTATTTTATCTCCCAGGGGAAAGAGTGGTGGCCTTTGCTGCTGTAGAAGGAATTTTCTTTTCCGGATCATTTGCTGCTATATTTTGGCTAAAGAAAAGAGGTCTCATGCCTGGACTCACTTTTTCAAATGAACTGATCAGCAGAGATGAAGTAAGTAAGGAAATATTTTTCTGCTTACATTTGTGTTATAAGTAGTCGTTTATTTTTCTTTCCTCCAGGACAAATGCATATGGTTATGTAAGTATTCCAGTAATGAAAAGAGAACAGGAACACAATTCTTTCTTGGCTTGCAAGACGCTGCATTTTCCTTCTGTGTCTCTTACCATTCCTCCTCAATCTCTGCTTGTCCTTAAGTATCGATGTACTTCTGGATTCCTGCCTTAGCTTCTACTATTTGTGACTTCCCTGTTGATTTTATTTGTTCTCATGGAATCAGCGCCATTTAAATGCTCATAACTCCTCAGACTTTATCTCTATTCCAGATACTTCCTGACTTGCAAACTGAGCATTCAAGTGTGTGTTAGGTGTTTTTCTTTGTAGCCTCGGCAGGTATGTCAAACCAAATATTTTAGAAATCAGATTCATTATTGTCTTCCAAAACTTGCTGCTGCTCCTTTTTGCCCTAGTTCAATGAGTGCCACTACCCTGTTGTCCAATCAGCCAATTAGAAATCTGGGAGCCATTTTAAGTTGCTTCTTTTTTTCTCTACCACATCCGGTGGTAACTAAGCCTTGTCTACCCCACCTGCAGTACCCTCCTCATTTGTCCTACCAGCTCTATTTTTTTCACCTGTTGATTACTGTTTCTCAAGGGGCAGCTTGCAGCCTTCCTGATCCAGTAGGTAAAACTGACCTGTTTCCTTTATGCATCATTTTGCAATCTAATCCTGTCTCTGCCTTAATAGTTCATAAAATGCACTTATCTCCTTCCTTTGTTAGCCTAAATGATGTGGATCATTTATTTGATTCCAATTAGAAATTTGATCCTAATTAGAAATTTGATCCCAATTAATTTAATCCTAAGAAGAAACAAGGTTTCAGAATTTTCATTTCTTTTGCTTTAATAAAATGAAGATTTTTCATATAAGTTTTTTCCTAGTTTCTTAAATTTGATCACAAAAAGTAGAATTAATGGGTCATTTATATAGCAGTTTCCAGCTCTGCTTAGCAATGAATGAACTTTTTTCTTTTTACTGTATCCTCACCAGAATTTGGATGACCTTTCTAAACAGTTGGCCAGTTTGATAGCTATGATTGGGATCTCATCATTGTTATTTCCACTTGTTTATTACTAACACTGAACTTTATCATAACATTATTAGTTATTCATATATATTTTTTCTGAAGTTACCTATTGTCTTTTGCCTTTGTTCCAGGCGTGATGCTAATATTTTTCTGATTTAACTACTCTAAATATTTTAAGTCTGTTATATGGTAGTTTACAATCCTTTTTTTTTTTTTTTTTTGTGGTCTTTTGAGACAGAGTCTTCCTCTAGTCCCAGCCAGCCTGGAACTTACTATGTAGACCAGGCTGGCCTTGAACTCATCTCATAGAGATCTGCCTGCCTCTGCCTCCTGACTGCTGAGACTAAAGGCATGCACCACCATGCCTGGCTTTGGTAGTCTGTAATCCTTAATGGAGGGTTCATGTCTAATATGGTCATTGGTGTATCCCTAATATACAGTGATTGATTGACCTCTTTTAACACATATTTATTTACTAAATTTGTTATATATATTTATGTATTGGATGAAAATAACATTCGATTTGAACTTTGCCATATTTATTTTAAGTGTTTTCTTAAATTGTCCCTTGCTTTTAAATTTTTAAATTACATTTATTTATTTATTTATTTATTTGTGTGTGTGTGTGTGCGTGTGTGTGTGTGTGTGTGTGTGTGTGTATGTGAGCGTGCACATGCATGCACATGCATATATATAGGTATATAGGCATCTGCTACTTCATGTATGTGGAAGTCAGAGAACAACTTGTGGGGGCTGGTTCTCTCCTTCTACCATGTACGTCCTAGGGATTGAACTCTCAGGTGTTTGAGTTTATCCATCTTGCCAGCTGTGATTTATTTTATTTTATTTTATTTTTTGAGCCAGGGTCGCATGTATATCCTGACCAAGTTGGCCTCAAACTCACTGTATATCAGAGGATGACCACGAACTTCTGATCCTCCTATTTCTATCTCCTGAGTGTTGGAATTACAGATGTGTGCCACCATGCCCAGTTTTATGCTGTCAGGGGGTCAAACTCAGGGCTTCCTGCGTGAAAGGCAAGCACTCTGTCAACTGAATTATATGTCAGACTTTGTCCTTTGAAATTGTGTTGTTCTGTTAACTTAGAAAATCTTAAATTTTGTGTGATCTACTTCCAGTTTACATTTAACTCCCTAATACTGCTTAACTTTGTTTAATATAAGTGTAGAAGCAAATATAAGTATAGTATAGGGTTAGTTAGAATTTAATTTTAGTTCAAACACTCGGGGAAAAATTTCTAATTTTATTAAGCAACCTTTCTCAAGTAATTCATGCCACCTTCTTTATTATATGCTGAGGTTTTGTTATACTAAAATCTGTTTCATGACTTTCTCTCTTTCATTGGCTTATCTATCAGCGTTTATGCCTTAACAAACTGCTGATTTGCAGTTGTATATGTGATGGAGTTTTGTTTGTTTGGAATGCTAGGGATCAAACTTTGGGCCTCATGCATGTGAGGCAAGCACTCTACTACTGAACTGTTTTCCCAGCCCTCTTCTTACCTTTTGAGACAGGGTCTTCCAAAATCACCCAGGCAGCCCTTGATCTTGTGGTCCTCCTGCCTCAACCTCTTTAGTAGCTGGGACTACAAGCCTGTGTCACCAGGCCTAGCAGTGGTATGTTTTAATAATTGGTAGAATAAATCTTAAAACTTTAATTTTTAAGATGTTCTTGTAAGATTCTGCCCATTTGCCCTTTCAGATTGTTTTTTAATTAAAACTGGTCTCATTAGAACTTTGAATGATATTGCTTTAAATCTCAAAGTCATTTTTATACATTTATTGATTTAACAATTATGCTTATCTTTGATGTACTGGTCTCTGCAGTAGGTAGCTAGCCGTCAGTTCTAATTAACACTTTAACATCTCTCAGTAGTTTATTTGACTGTTGCCTTTGGTAATTTGAAGAATTTCCTTGAGTCAAGTCTGGGAAAAAAATTTACTCATAAGTTTTCCAAGATTAGGTATTGAAAGAGGTGTGTTTTTTAAAAAGATAGTTTTATTTAATGATAAGATTTAGATAGATAATGCTTAGAATACAATCTTTGATTTGGGATTCTTTGAATGATTGGGTTTTTGTTGATTCATTTAGCAAACTAAGGAACTCTGATTTGTGATTCTTTACAGTGCACATCTTTCCCTTCCTTGATTGCTTACAAAGTCATTTTTCTTTGTAGTTTAGAAATGTTAATAGATTCTACCTTGGTGTCATACTCTAAAATTAGTTAATATTGTTGACAATTCCATCATCTTCCCATGTGGCTTCTTTTTTGTTGTTGTTTTGAGTGTGAAAATTCTCTTCTCTTCTTTTGATTTTTAGCTTTTTAGCATCTGCTTGGTGCCATGGAATCCCGTGTGCCAGCTGACTGCCATTGGTCTGTTCTGCAGTTACTTAAGGTTTTATAGTGTTTATTGTATTTGCATAACCGTTTTGTTCTTAGGACTGTTTCATAAGCTATTCTTCTCTGGTTGAGCTATCTGCAATGGCTTCAGAAGGTTTGCATCCTTCTTTTCCATTTGCATTATACCAAATTCACTTTTCTTGACTTATTCTTAACATAAATATTGTCTTTTTGGAGTCTCTGAGTGAGCTTAGCCTATTCTGTAAATGCTGTTTTATTTACTTTTCTTGTTACTGTGGAAAAATACCTGACAAGAAATCACTTAAGGAAGGGCTTATTTTGGCTTATAGTTCTAAGGGATACAGTCCATCATCAGAGGTAAGGTATGGTGACAGGAGCGGCTGGTCACAGTGCAACCCTTGAAGGAAGGAGAGAGCAATGGATGTTGGGGCTCAGCTCACTTTTTGCTTTTTATTCAGTCCAGGGCCCAGCCTATGGAATGGCACTGCCTGTATTTAGGGTGGATCTTCTCACCTCAATTACCCCAATCTAGAAAATTTCTCACAGTCATGCCCAAAGGTTTGTTTCCAGGGTGATTCTAAATTCCATCAAATTGACAATCAGGATTAACCATCACAATTATTTAAAGTTTTTCAAGCACCCCTTAATTTTTTTGACATTTAAAAATTAATTTTCATCTTGTCTCTTCTTACTTTGTTTTCCTTTCCAGGATGTTCTTGTTACAGTTTTTGTTTGTGAATTAACATTTTAATATCGATGAACTAAGATTTGCTACCATTAATTAAAATTTTAAATTTTAAGTTATTAAATTGGCATTCAATGAAATTGGAAGAAAGGAGGCTCCTGGCTCTGTTAACCTCTTCTTCATCTCCAGGAAGTTCCATGTTTGTATTTTATACCATGCTTTGACGCATCCTTAAATGCAGGTAGCTGATTAAAAGGTCTTTGATAATAAGCATTTGTCTTCTGTTTCAGGGACTTCACTGTGACTTTGCTTGCTTGATGTTTCAATACTTAGTAAATAAACCTTCAGAAGAAAGGGTCAAAGAGATCATTGTTGATGCTGTCAGCATTGAGCAAGTAAGTAGGGGAGTTTAATGTAGTTAGCACATCTTTCTGATATTTGTATTACTATTATTTGACTATATTTTATTGTAATTAATTAATTCATTTTTTGAGATAGAGTCTCCCTGTAGCCCCAGCTGGCATAGAACTTACTATGTAGACCAGGGTGGCCTTGATCTCACAGAGATCTACCTGCCTCTGCCTCCCTAGTGCTGGGATTAAAGGCATGCACCATGATGCCCAGAGATTACATTTATTTATTTACTTATTATTATTTTATTATTTACCTATTATTTTTACATTTTAAATTGACTTTTTGTGATTTCCATACAATATAATTTGATGGCATTTAGATCCCCCTCCCTATCTGCACCTCCATTTATTTTCCTCTTGCCCAATTTAGTGTTCTCTATTGTACATATAATAGGGCCTACTGAGTCTAATTTGTGTCCCCAAATGTCCTTCAGTGTGGGTCCATCCACTGGGGCCTGGTTAACCTACCAAGAGTTCCATCCTTGAAAGAGACTATCTGTCCTTCTCCCAGCAGCCATCTGTTGCAGCCGTTGGTTGCCAAAAGTTCCTTAGGTTGGGTTGGGATTTCTTCCCCACTTCTCCATGTCTGTGCTAAGCTTTTGTCTGGTTTGAGCTTGCATAGTACTTGTGTATGCTGTCATAATTGCTGTGTGTTCATATGAGTAACTGAACTGTCTGGAAAACTCTGTTTCCTTGTGATCATTCACCTTCCCTGGTTCTTACAGTCTTTCTGCCCTCTCTTTTACAATGATCCCTGAGCCTTCAGAGGCAGAAGTTTGATATAGGTGTCCTAGTCACAGATAAGCACTCTGTAGCATCTTGTTCTCTGCATGCTGGCCAGTTATGGATTTCTGTGTTAATCACTATCTGCATAAGGAAACTTCTCTTCTGAGAGTTCAGAGATGCATTAATCTATGGGTACAATAAGTCATTAGGAGTCAGTTTAATATGGTACCTACTTATTAGAAAACTACTATTGGGCTCTCCCCTATGCCCTGTGACCTATCTAGCCTCAGGTTCCTAAGCCTGATATCAATGTCAGGTATAGGCTCCATCCTATGAAGTGGACCTTAAATCCAATTACAGAGTGGTTGGTTACTCCCATAATATTTGTGCCACTTTTGCACTGGTGCGCATATCTTGCCAGGCCAGTTTTTGAATCACAGGATTCATAACTGGGTAAGGTTCATGGTTATTTTTCCCTCTGGTAGCATGCCTAGCACCTTCCAGCACTATTGAATGCTAGCCAGTAGAGATGAGGCTCTGAGGTCAGCATTCACTTGATTTCTCCTTGTTTGTTTTACAGCTCATGTATATAGTGTTTTCAGCAGTAGGGTTTTACCATTAAGTTCTGGTGGGTAGCCAAACCAGCTATTAAATTCCATTTAAAATTTTTGTTTTGAAATGATATCTCATTATACTTAGTGAACTGGCCTTGAACTTCTGAGCTTAAGCAGTTTTCTCACATCAGCCTGCTGGTACTGTGCCCAACAGCATTTGATTATGTTGTAGGTCAATATCAGTAAATTTATGCCCAATCCAGTTTGTCAGTGCTGACACATGATATATTGAAGTTATTATGTCAGTTTATAATTTGCTTTAGATGTCAGTCTCTATTATATAACAAGGTTTTCTGTATAAGCAGTCTGTTTCAGTGCTACATTTCAAAAACATTTCATTTATTATATTTTATTATTTTTATTCTATGTGTATTGCCTGCATATGTGCAAGTGCACCGATGTCATGCAATGCCCGTGAGGTCCAAAGAGGACGTTGGATCCCCTGGAACTAAAGTTATGGATGATTGTTAGCTGCCATGTGGATGCTAGGAATTGAACCCAGGTCCTCTGCAAGAGCAATCAGTGCTCTTAACTGCTGAGTCATCTCTCCAGCCTCAGGGCTGCATTTTTGTCTTGTTAATTTATCTATCAAATTCTATTCTATAACAAACTTTAAATTATTGTGGCTTCATATATTTTCAGATTTTTAGCTACTAGAGAGCAATGATAGTTTCTTGTTTGTTTTGTATTTCAATAACCTAGCAGGGTACATGATGAGGCATAAACCAAATATTTATAGAATGAATAAGTAAATGAATTAGTGAAGATAAAGCTTAATTTATGGCAGGTAAAGATTTCTGACTCGAAAAAGCTTGATGTCCTACTTAAAATGTATTTTTTATCACTCCAAAGAACTAATTTTAAAATGAAATTTGCTTAACTTGGTTTCAAACATTACATATTTATAGGCATGGTGTTCATGTTGGGAGGGGGAAGAGGCATCTGTTTTGGCACCTTAATCATTTTGAGGATGAATTACATGGTTAATGAGCTTTTATTTTTCTCTATTAACACACTGTCAGTGTAGTTGGAATCCAGTTCATCTCTCAATCTGCAAATCCATTTCTGTTTGTTCTCATGTCTCTGTGAATTGAGTAGTCTCCCTTTCATAGTCACGCTCCCCATGATGATGATCTCTGGTGAACTTTTGTCTGGATATTTCAGAACAAAGCATCTCCTTTTTTCTATTGAGAAAATTTATGAATCAGGTCTCAATATATTACTTTAAAAGCTCCAATAATTAGATGGTTTTCTATTTATTTTGGCTCCTTGAGAATGTGAAACAATATAATTAGAAATATCTCAAACATTTGTAAACAAATGGCCATCATTTCCATGTGAATTTATCCGAACATACTTGCCTTGAACAAAATCAATGTCTAGAATACTAATAAGACTAAACTCTGTGTTAGTTACTTTTCTCATTCCTCTGAAGAATTGAAAGAAAAGAGGATATATTTTGGTTCTCAGATCAAAGGGTATAATCTGTCGTAGCAAGGAAGGCATGGTGACTAGGGCTCAAATGGGAGCTTGAAGTGCAGTGTGTTCATATTTTGGCAGACCAGGAAGTAGAGATGGACTGGAAGAAGGCCCTCAAGGCTCACTCCCAGTGATGTATTTCTACCAAGCAGGTCTCACCTCTTAAAGGTTCCATAACCAGTGTCACCAGGTATGGACTCATGAGCCTGTAGGGAACTTTTCAAATTCAAACCACAATATGTAGTACTTGGGGAATTCATGCTTATTTATTGATCTGTCTTTCTACCTTAACCTGCTTTTGTTTGCTTTTCAGGAGTTTTTAACAGAAGCCTTGCCAGTTGGCCTCATTGGAATGAACTGTGTTTTAATGAAACAGTATATTGAGTTTGTAGCTGACAGATTACTTGTAGAGCTTGGATTCTCAAAGGTAAATAAAGTTTTTAAAACATGTTACTACCAGTTAAAATGTTACAGTCAAGTAATATTCCTAAAACATATGTTACTAAAAGCATTTTTAATATACTAATCTACTTTAAAAAGTATCTATGACAATTTGGATGTGTGATGTTCATCTGTAATTCTAAAATTTGGGAGGCTAGGGCAGGAGGATTGCGAATTTGAGGTCAACCTACACATTCTATCTCAAGCAAATACATAAATAAAGGTATATGACAGACTCATTTTTGTATGAAAAACATGAGTTATTCAAAATCTTTTGAAACTAAAAATCCATAGTAGAAGTAGGAGACTGATAAATATTAGAACCAATAAGTTCAATAAATTGCAATAGTTGTAGAGATATTTATTAAGGGACTATTTTCAGTCAATTGATCTTAATTCACTAATATATTTATCCTCATATAAATTCTCATTTGCTTAATGTAACTTTGAGGCTAGTACTTTCACATAGAAAATAGTTAATAGGAAGATATTAACTGTCATTTGACTTTTGTGTGTGTATGTATATAAGTATGTGTATGCTGGGGATCAAACATAGGTTCTTGCATGTGTAGGACAAGAACTTTACCACTGAGATTCATTCTTAGCCCTGATTTGACTCTTTGGGTTATTTTATCTGATTTATCAGTTGTCTTTAGTTTACTTCTGATATTTGTTTATCAGAGATGATGTACCTGAATTCCATAAAGAGACATGATTGTCATGTGATTTTGGGTTTTACCACTTTCTAGCTATGTGACCTTTGGCAAGTTATTTAACCTCTGTCTCAGTTTCTCCATCTGTAAAATGGAGATTAAAAAAACACTTGCTACAGCTCCCGCCCTCAGGCCTCTCTGGGGGTAAGTCTACCGTGCAGCCCTCCTCGCCTTGACTCTGCCAGCCGCGCTCACCCTTCCATCTCCCCCGCTGTTCTCTACTCCTAGCTTGGGCCCTGTGCCATTCCTAGTCTTGGGGCCCCAGACACCTGGGGAGCCACTGCTGATTCCTGACCCTGTTCACCCCCACTGGCTTGGTGCCTTCCTTGGGCCCCAGGAGCACTACCTCTAGACCCGGCCCCGCCACCACCACTCTCTGCTTCCTGATCCTGCAACACCCGCCAGCCTCGTTCTGGGGCTGACAGCCTCTTTCTGGGGCTCCGAGGCTTACCTTACTCTCTCTGATCCTTTGAGTCCAGTA